AAATCTTTTACTCTTTGAGTATTATTAAAATAGTGTGATGCTATTTTAGCCAAATCCCTAATTCTATATCTTAAGAGTGGTTATCTTAAGTGTGAGTTTTAGGTTCTAGATATTTGATTAAGTGTGTCATATCTTAATTAAATTCTAGATTCAAACCTCAAGTTAGGATAAGAGTGTGTAGTATCTCTTAAATACCAACTTGGTTTTTCCATCCCTGATGTTTCTCCCATTTCGTACCTCCCCATTTCTCCTCTTAATCTCATTCTTTTCTTCCAATTAAAATACCCAAAAGAACTCCCTCATCATCTCCACAAATCCCAGCCATTCCCACACAAGCACCACGATTACCCGCCCAGGTTTCCTGATCCTGATTGCCTTGATAATCGATTATCAATTAAGATAATCGACTATCTCACCCTTCAGGACTTTCTTGGCGTGTGCTGCAAAGTCCAATAATCGATTATCAACATTTGATAGTCGACTGTCGTCCCCTGCTGAATTCCGTTGGAATAAACTGCGAGCTCCTATAATCGATTATCATATCTTGATAATCGACTATCTGCTTACTCTGAAGTTTCTGGGTTTCAGCCACACAAATTCACAATCGATTATCACCTAGCCATAATCGATTATCTCCTGCTCCAGAACCCTGAACTCAAAGCTGAATCATTCCTTGATTCCTCCTCAAAATAACAACTCGTTTAGACCCCCGTTTTGGGTATAACATTTGGTATCAGAGCTTTGTGTTGCATATCCCTCAAGGACCATTCACACGCCTCTAAAAGTAAGTTGTTCAAGCTCAAACTCCATCCTTTTCTTCCTCCAAATCCACGGCCAGAATCCACACTCCCTCTCACCCTCTCTCCTCTGCAACCATGTCAAATGAATCCCGAACCATGTCCCATGAAGAGCTCATTGCCTCCAATACAGCCTTGAAAGCCCAAGTAGAGCACTTGGCTAAAGAAGTAGCCAAGCTTACGAAGATGAAACTCAACAAGCTACAAGGATGTGACCGTGAAGAAGACGCTAGCTCTAGTGGAACCATGAAGCCTAAAGCCAATGAAGGTTCTGACTTCAAAGTTGACATTCCAACTTTTGAAGGGAAGAACGACCCGGACGAGTTCCTCGAGTGGCTAGAAACAGTGGAACGCGTCTTTGACTTCAAAGATGTATCCGACTAAAAGATGGTCAAAATAGTGGCCTTAAAGTTCCGGAAGTATGCATCAACTTGGTGGACCAATACTTGCACCAAAAGAAGAAGGAACGGTAAAGAACCAGTGTCTACTTGGACTAAGATGAGGTCCCTCTTAAAAAAAGAAGTTCTTACCCGCTGAATATGTTCGAGAGAATTTTGCTAAGCTCCAAACGCTTAAGCAAGGTTCAAAATCCGTGGAGGATTACAACCGAGAGTTCGAGGAACTCTTATTGAGGTGTGACCTACAAGAAGACGATGAGCAAACCTTTGTACGCTACCTATTTGGCCTAAACACCCAAATCGCCAACACAGTGGAGCTGCAAACCTTTGAGAGCCTTGAAGAGTTAACCGAGTTAGCACTTAAGGTGGAAGCCCAACTCAACAAGGGCAAATCTTCTTTGAGCCGTAGCAATTCTTCCTACCCTAGTACATCAAATTCCACCCCCCTTGCTACCTAAAACCCCACAGATCCCTCCCCTCAAAATCCTAAAACCGTGCACCCTATTACCTCACCAAATGCTCCTCCTCTTTCAAAACCATGTTCCTCAAGTAGCCGAGTCCCAAAGTGTTTTCGTTGCCAAGGCATTGGTTACTATGCTAGTGAGTGCCCAAACAAGAAGATCATGGCTATTGTTGAATGTGAATAAGAAGAAATGAATCCATTTTTTGTTCAAGGAGAGCCGAACGAAGAAGTTGTTGGTCCCGATGAAAGTGAGCTTTTGGTCATTCAAAAGACCATTAGTCATGCAGCTGCCTAGGATGATACCACACACCGAGAGAGTATTTTTCATACTCGCTGCACCATTCAAAAGAAGGTGTGTTCAATGATCATTGATAGCGGGAGTAGTGCCAACGTTGTTTCGAAAACAGCGGTGGAAAAGCTCAATTTGAAGGTGATGCCACATCCGAAGCCTTATGAGATTCAATGGTTGAATCTTAACGAAGGGATACGTGTGAATACACGTAACTTGGTTTCCTTTAGCATGGGTCAGTCCTTTCATGATGACGTATGGTGTGATGTGATACCCATGAGAGCTTGTCATATTCTCCTCGGGAGGCCCTGGTTATATGATCGGAGAGTTACCTACGATGGTTTCACCAACTCGTATTCATTTGAGATGAATACAAGGAGACTCACTCTTGTTCCGATGATTCAAGGCCAGGCACAACTGCCCCAGGCACAATCTCCATCCATACTTTCCATCTTTATGAAGTCCAAATATTCAAGGCCCAAAAAGTCACCCCATGAACCATTGTTGGACCCAAAACAACCCTTGTGCTTCGTTGAAAGCCCCGACACGAACCCTGTTGTAAAAGGAGAAATCATGGAACCGAGTTAATACTAACGACCTTTAGTGCCAATGTTTTTATGTATCATTTGCAGAGATTCCATGAAGATACGCATGAAAGAAAGAACACTCATTTTGAGTGTACGAGGTGGCATTTCCAAATTTCCCTTGCCCCAGGGACAAAGCAAAGAGTGTTTGAAGATGAAGATTCAAACGTGATAGCATCCCGCTCTGAAGATGAACCTGAAGAAAACTCAAGTTTGAGGGCAAACTCTTTCGAAGAAGGGGAAGATGTTATACTCGGGCATGCCCTACCCAAACTCTTGAACGTGCCACAAGTGTTCAAACAAATCAGTGGATTCGTGATTAAGTGTGATAATCCTTATTGGGTTGATTTCAATCATTTCCCCCCATTTAGGAACGTCACCCAACACCCTTGTCATTTTTGAAACCCCTTGGCCACCCCAACCATGTCCAAACCCACCCTAAACATCCAAAACACCTTGCTCTTTGTTTCCTTTCAAAAATAAAGTCTTCCTACACTTTTTTCCACCCCATGGCCGAAAATATGTAGAGGACAAACCATAAACCTTTTGTTTATTGTTAATTCCTTCTTTTAAGCCTTTGAATAAAAGATGCACCTTGTTCTTGATCCTTTCCTACCTTGGCCGAAAATACCTAGCTAAAACCCCTCCCCAACTCATGCCATAACCCCATCCTTGCTTCCCATTATGTCCAGCAACTTGAATACACAAACAACCACTATGATCCAAAACATAATGGCCCACCATCCCACCAATTAGACCTCACTTTATTCCCCATAAGATGCCTACAAGAAGCCTCCCAAAAAACCCAGCCATTTCCTGCACAACCCCTTCCCCTTTGGCCCAAATATTCCCCTCCAAATCACCAAAGGAGATGCCATT